AAATGGGTGGGGGGGGGGGTCGGGGGGGGGGGGGGGGGGTTCTGTATTTAGAAAGGCATGGAAAAACAAACGGAAAACGAATAAAGATTGCAAATGGTTGACTGTTACATTACAGTACATAAAATTTCACTTCTCCCCTTACTCTGTTTATGTGGTATGACTGAGGACGATGGTGAATGATTTTCAGATCCTGAGCACCACTGACAAACATCTAATCTTGTAAAATGTGTGGTAAGCACTGCCATTCCATAGTATAAACAGAGTACGTGCGATCGCGAATCTCGAAAGTGAAACTAAAAAGTGATTCCGCATTCAAAATGGATGGGGATCGCAATGCCGGCTCAACATCGTGATGTCTATTAGCCATCGGCGATGGACGATGGCATCGTCTATCGGCCCAACCCTAATTATAATAGTGTATTGTGGCTTTGGTTGTTTATAATTTATTTTTAAAAAAAATTTATTGTTTTGATGGTGCTCTGAGAGCCAATGTGAAGTTCACCGTTTATTCTTAATTTACTGAAAAAATTATGATAAATACTTTCAAAAACTGTCTGTTTTGCATGTGTAGCTACGCAAATGTCAAATTGCTCATGCAAAATGGCATTGTTAATAAAAAATTATATTAATCTACATTAATGATTGTGATTACAGTGTCAAAGGAAATTATTGATTTTGTCAGTATCATTATAAGCATTAGAACTGGTCAAGGCAAGAGGAAAATACAGATCTTGTTGTAGGTTTTGTCTCCACTTGATTCACTTGTGACCCCTAAAAGACTCAAGGACAGGATGGGTGTAACGGATTGGACACTGCCTCCTGCACTTATCAGATTTATGACATTTAAGAGTGTAAGCCGGGAAAATGTTATTTATATGACCGTTTCGCTTTGCCGAAGTCCACAAGAAACCATGCCTATGTCATGAAGAGCAGGAAACATCCCCTCCACTGCATGATTCAGCCTCTCCAGCTCAGACCACAGAGGCCAGATGTTGGAGGCTCTGACTGGTTACCGAATGCTGTGTTTTGTCCTCTAAATTATTTGAATATCTAAGATTAAAGTTTAATGGTCACTTATCCATATTTAATGACTCGACTTAAAATGGGGCTATCGAATATCCGCAGCTCTTAAGAAAAGTTTGGTACAGCTGCTTTGATCCAAGCTAATGATTGTGCAGTTTGTCTATGTCTTAATTGACTTTTTGTGCTCCAAATTTGAGAGGACATGGTGTGCGTGTGTGTGTGTTTGCGTGAATGGAGAACTTATCTTACCTTGACTCTCTCCTCATGTTTCATCTCTGCAGAGTTTTCCCTCTGATGAGGGCTGGCCATTCGCCAAATACCTGGGGGCCTGCGGCCGGATGGTGGCGGTGAATTACGTGGGCGAGGAGCTCTGGAGCTTCTACAATGCACCCTGGGAGAAAAGAGTGGATCTGGCCAAGCAGCTGATGGACATCGCCGAGCAGCTGACTAACAACGATTTTGACTTTGCCCTTTACCTCCTAGACGTGAGCTTTGACAACTTTGCAGTCGGGCCTCGTGATGGAAAAGTCATCGTCGTCGATGCAGAAAACATCATAGTGGCAGACAAGAGACTGATTAAGCAAAGTAAGTAACAACTTAATTCCAGCATCTCCGTGCTCTTGCTTTACAGCATTAATAAATTGCGCTGGAAACTGTTATCCAGGTCAGACGGTGTGTGTGTTTTTTTTGTGTCTACTTTCATATGTTCTGACCCACTTTTAGTTTTCCCTCAGATGGGCTGGAGCACCTGTTTTTTAGGCCTGTTTGTTTCTGTACTTTGCCTTCCCCCTCAAAATAAATGTTTTTCAGGACTTTCAGGAAGAATTATCACAGTCTCACAGACCAGGTGGAAACCTGCATGGGCCTCCCACGCTCTCAGATATATAATTAAAGTCTCATAGCTGTTTCTTTTTTTGGACTTTTAAGAACTTTACACATGAAAAAGCACAGACGGCTTTCTTGTAACACTGGTCAGAAATTAATGGGATCAAAGATAAGGGTGCAAAAATGTTTAATTATGACTGTCATGATTTAAATGAAATGTGAAAATGAATGTAAAGTGTTGATTGTGACATTAGATTTAGATCTGCTCACGTTGCATCAGATTTCTTTTAACATTTTTTGCAGTTTTGAGTATAACCAGTCACGTGCATTTCTGTTCAGCTTATGAATGCAGGTAGTCATGTCAAGATGAGTCACTGCTGAAAACTGACAGAATTCTGAATCTGTACTTGCACCAATTCTCTCATCACAAACAAGCAAAGTGCAGATGCAGTGCAAGTAAGAGATTAATTTAGCAGTGTAGACCACTTCAGTGATTATAACATGAGTACATAACTCGTGCTTGGCTTAAGTCATGGACCGCTTCAGTGATGGAGAGCGTACTTTGCTCTCTTTATTCCCAGTTTAAACGACGTTTTGTTTTTCATGCTACTAAAATAAGCAATGATTTTATAATCTTGATTTTCTAATGCATAAAAAGTAATAAAGTAATTCATGAACTGGTCTTAGCTTTTTTTGTCAGGAATATGATGTTGTTTCCCCAAACCCAAAACATTTAATAATTAGGCTGTTACAATATCAAGAGCAATAATCAACAATAATACAGGGCTTAAAGTTCTCCGGCACTGTGCCGGATCTCCGGGCATGCAGCGTTTGGCTGGGAAAAAAATAACCCTACATTTATAAAAAAAATTAAAATAATAAAAAACACTTGTTGATATCAGTTCCATGAGTTCGCCTACCAATTGTATGAGAGGAGCACAGCTTTCACTCTCAACCAAACTAACATTACTAGCCAATCAGAATTTGTTTGGTTTTATAAACACAAGACGGCGCAGGCGGCGCTGCCCTGATGAGAAGCGCGACACGTTGCAAAAGCTGCGAGGCGCAATGTTCAAAGATGTCCATCTAGCGCATATTTACATAGAAAAACTAATTAAAAGCAGTGGAGCTTTGTAAACAGCTCAGAGTAATCATGTAATCTCCATAAGAACGATGTTTGCCAGAACAAATTTACCCGGATTTTTCGCAATTTCAAAATAAAAATTTCGGAGTTTGCATGTGGCCAAATATTCAAATTTAATGGATTTAAACATAGTTTAATCATGCTGTAAAGTGAAACGTCACTAGGCCGTTGGTGCCCTCTGCAGGTATTTGTTATAATACATAAAATGTAGTTATGTTCATATTATGTATAGGCATATTACATTATGTATTTTAACAGTGTTGTTCAATAAAACCATGTAATTACTTTGTTTTATATTTTATTTGAGCCAATTACTATTGCCTCATCGTTAGTTTATATAAGTCATACTAAAGCCTTGTTACTAAAAAATATCAGATTACTCAATTGTCAAAATAATCATTAGTTACAGCCCTAGATTAGTTAAAATATTTCAAAATACAACTGCAATGTTTTACTTTTTGTAATTAAAAGACAGATATTTTGTCATTGAAAATTTCTTTAAAATTCTATTAAGATATTGTCTCAGTGTTTTTTTTTGGTAACACTCTATAGTATTCTGATTGATAAAAGTAATTGGCTAAATATAAGTATTTGACATAAAAAAACAACACAGATACATTAAATAAGGCAATTATAAAAATGCCCCTGAAAATCCATTCCTAATTGAAAAGTTATTTTCTGGCCCTGATAGAGCCCCTAATTTGATAAATGTGAAACTGGAATTTAAATCCCATGCATTAAGTAAGCATTGCTATCAAAGTGTTTGTGTTGCAACAGATGAACGTGGCCCAAAGCTGCACTTTTGATTCTGGACGGTAGTGAGTTGGCATGGATTGGTGCAGTGCTGGACCAACAATTCGTGCCAGTGGATCTGCCATCCAGAGAGGCCAGACTGGGCTGGCGGATGATCTTGGAGCATGTGTGCTACATAACAATGGCTACTTGCTTCAGCCTGCCAGCGCTTATCTGAATGGAGCTCGTATGTGTGTCTTTGCTTGCAGATGGGTCTTTCTGAAATGTTAGATAGCACAAGCTTTTTTTATTGAGTTTCTATTCTGAATTGATGTGTGCTTATGATGTCAAACCACTTCACTGAACGTGTGGGCATCAAGGTTGGAAGTCTTTTTGCAGAGGGCATTGAATAGATGGGCTTTTATTCATCTTTTAAATTTAATTAATTCTGCTTATAATATCTCAGTGCATTAATTAAAAATGTGAACCTTTTAAGGATTGGCATTCATGGATTCAGAAATTATTTCTATTCACAGGAGGTGGTTTGTTATTACGAATATCTGTTGGCAATTTTTTGTTGATTTAATAACATTTAATGGTAACACTTTCTATAATAAGATTTCATTCGTTAAAGGGATAGTTCACCCAAAAATGAAAATGATGTTATTACTTACCCTCACGTCGTTCCAAACCCGTAAGACCTTTTCTTCGATCTCACATCTTCGGAACACAAATTAAGATATTTTTGATGGAATCTGAGAGCTCTCTGACCCTCCCATAGACAGCAAGGATCCTTACACGATCAAGGCTCAGAAACGTAGCAAGGAGATTGTTAAAATAATCCATGTGACATCAGTGGTTCAACCGTAATTTTACGAAGCTACAAAAATACTTTTTGTGCACAAAGAAAATAAAAATAATTACTTTATTCAACAATTCGTCTCCTCCGCTTCACCCTATAGCGCCATTTTAGAGAGTATCACATACGTAAACAATGTATGTACGGTACGCGGATACATTGTTAATGTTCAGATCAAAGTGTAAACAACGTAAACCGCGTATCCGCGTACATACGCTGCATACATTATGTATGTGAAACTCTCCAAAATGGCGCTATAGGGTAATGTGGAGGAGACGAATTGTTGAATAAAGTCGTTATTTTTGTTTTCTATTTGTTTTGAAATAATTTCTTCTGCGAAACACAAAGAAAGATATTTTGAAGATTGTTTCATCTGTTGAAAGTCAATGGGGTTCTTTAGTGTTCCTTAGAAGTGACAGGTGAATAAATGATGAACTGTCCCTTTAATTTAAGATTTCCATCAGTTCTGGAACTATATTTTGTGCCGTTCCTCCATAAACCTCTGGATGTGATTCTCAGCACACACAGCAAAAGAGAAAAGCACCGAAGCCAGCGTGTGCTCCGATTGGCTGTGGCACATTACCTTCTCTGAATCTCATAATTGGCTCCCACGAGAGTGATTGGCAGCACGGTGACTTCATTTTCTCTAATTAGTTATTGGCGTGATATTGAGCTGTGTCAAATGGCCAAGATGGCAGTTCCCCAACTCTTTAAGGCGCTTTATGACTCGATATAGTTTTGCTGATGAGTATATGTCACAGCCCAGTCTATTTCTGCAGGATCCTCGGCTTTATTGATTTGTTCAGCATTAAAATGGGTGGCTAGAGAAGAACTGCACCTGCTTTCAGAAGAATTTCTTATTTGTCTTCTCACAGTGAAGAGCTGAATCCAAGTCAGTGTCTTTATTCTGCAGATCGTTGTTTCATTTTAGTGTCGGTTGTGCTTTTGGAAGAAGATTGAAACGCTACAAGAAAACGATGTGCAATGGTAAAGAGCTTTTTATGTTGTCTGGTATACAGAATCTAACAGCAAGTTGTTTTTAAAAGGAAGAGCCAGTGGAATAAGGATTAGGCCGTATTGAATAAAAGTCAGCTGACTGAAACTAGGCATGTTGTGAAACACAGAGGAGAGCTTGACAAGAAGTTCAATCATTGCTTCTGCAAAGGATAGTGAACTTGTGTTGAATGTTAACATGACATTGACTCTAGTTTTTCTCTTAATACATGTCCCTAGTCTTATTTTTTGACCAATAGCCAAATAGTTATTTAGGCATTGTTTTAGACTCATGTTTTAGATAATGCAACCTGTTCTATGTTTTATTTAACAATTAAGAGTAATTAAATGCCAGTTAACATTGTAATGGAATCTACTGCAAACTACTTGCTACTACATGCAATAAGAAATAGATGAAATGTTCAGCCCAGTTGCTGAGTTCAGTCTCTCTAGGACCCCAAAGCAATTTGACTAAAAAAGTACTCTGTTCAGTGCCTGATTGGAAATCCTAAATCATTCGCACACTACCGTTATTGTTATCATTGTTTTTTCCTATTTTTAAAATACTATACATGTTGACCAAGGCTGCGTTTATTTGATCAAAATACAGCAATCCGTTTTCTTTTGTAATATATTTTACGATTTTATTTCTTTCTTTCAGTAATGACAAAGCTGAATTTTCAGCAGCCATCACTCCAGTCCTCAGTGTCACATGATTCATCATTCAATATGCTGATTTAGTGCTCAAATAAAATTTCTTGTTATTATTAGTTTTGGATTCTTTGAGTGGAAAGCTTTTGTAACCCTTTAATGGTTTCTGCTGAAGCATAAAGTATACTTTGTCTGCCCTACATGCTACATCAAGCTACCACAGCTACAAAACGATAACAGGTGTTAGGCTGTTTTGATTAACTACAACAAGATATTGCAATAACAGCTCTTGATTAGCTGTTACAAGCGGCTGCCCCCTGGGGTCCAATCCGAATGGTGCTGTACACGGGTCCTACCTCTTTATGACACCATCAGTGTTATAAAACACAAACTCTCATTCTGCTCTAGCCCCACTTCAGGGCCCTATGAAACGAGGGATTCTTTTTTTGGATTCTATTTTAATTGTTAAATGAAATGTTAGTAATCAATTTAAGTCATGAAACGTTTAACAACACTTCATTAAAAGGTAATTAAAACATTTCATTAAAAGTGAATTAAAACACAGTTTAACAACACTCTGTTACATGTTTAACAAAAATTGCTTGTTTAGTAGGGTTGGGCCAATAGACGATGCCATCGTCCATCGCCGATGGCTGATAGACATCACGATGTTGCGCCGGCATCGTTATCCCTCCCCTCCATTAGGGTTGTGACAGTGAGGAAATTTTCCCACCGGTTAATCGACGAGTGACAACATCGATAATACCGGTATCACCGTTGGGGTGGGGGGGGTGTTAGTTCGTTTGAGTTTCCCTCTTTTCTTCGCTTTGAAAAGGCTTGTAAAAGTGCCGTGGGAATTTTACTTTCACTTTCAAATTAGCGACAACTGCCGCAATTCGGCGTCAAGCAATTGTTCGTTTGAGTTTTCCCTCTTTTCCTCGGATTTCTTCACTTTCAAATAGCATGAAAAAGCGCTGTGCGCATTTTACTTTCACTTTCAAATTAGGGGCAATTCAGTGTTGATTCAATTCAAGCAACAACAACGTCAAACTCAGAACTTTTATTAACAAATGAATAAAAATACACCATATAGGCCTATGCCTAATAAAATAACAAATTATTTGGGCTACACAAAGTTTAACACTGTGGAACCAAATAAATAAGAAACATAGAACATTTATTAGCAAAATGAATAAGAAAGCTTGGAGGCACGGCATATACACCTTGATGTAAAATAAATAAAATACCCAAAGTTTAAATATAGTAATCAGCAAACACTGTGGAACCAAATAAATAAGAAACA